TTCTTTCTTTCTTTCTTTCTTTCTTTCTTTCTTTCTTTCTCTCTTTCTTTCTAGCAGTGTTTGTACAACGATAAAGACAGTGTCTTCCAGACACTGCTTGAGACATTCTAAAGGTCTTTCTTTGGGAGGGTAGGGCCCATCCACTTCTGCTGGACCCACACACTTTGAAAAGTGTGCCCAGAGCAGTGAACACCCAACCAACTCTCATTTCCTTATACAAAAGAAACACTCCTAGGCCCCCTGCCCCCCCGCCCCTCCCCCACTCCCCACCCCGGCAACATGGAAAAATCGGGGGGCTGAGCTGCCAATGCTGTGGCTCACAGCTGGACCTCAGGGATCACTAGGGACATTCATCAGGTTGCAGGTGACATGCCCGAGGCACAGCAACTGGGTTGGGCGAGGTCTCCTGTCTGGCTAAGGACAGTGCTGGTCCTCCGGTGACTGAGGATCTTTTTACTCCCCCAGACTTCTAGAGGACGGGCTCTGGTACTTGATTTTGATACTACCCCGCCTGTCTTGTTGATGTTTGTTAGAAAGTATGGCCAGTCGTGACTCTTTAGTGGAAGAAAGGTGTGTGAGTGCAGCCTAAGCACCTTGTGTTCTCACACTAGTGACCAACAAACAGCCTATAGACACAGCAATGTGTCTTCACACTATGACTTCACACTAAACGACAGCCTGAGCAACTGCTTCCTGGAAGCTGTTCAAAGGGAGTCGTCTGGCTACTTAAACATTCCAGGCTTCCAAGGCACGTACCTCACTGTTGGCGCTTTCCACAAAGGACCCCCCAAACATGGCGGCCATCCACTCGCAGCTACAGATCAGCAGTGGTTTGTGGGCACTGATGGCTCCATCATCCAAGGTAAAGGTCACATCTGCCAAGGACGGAGGAAACAAAACCGTGAGCCAGTTCTTCCAGGGGTTTCTCCCCCAGCCTTCTGCTCCGTGTACATCCATCAAGCTGTATCTCTCCCTCCCTGCTCCAGGTTTACTGATCCTACTTCAATCCATACTTCTGACACATCCAGCTCCCACGGCAAAGAGTGTACCTTGAAAAATTGCATGCAGGATCACAACACAAATTCTCAGGGCCGGAAAAGTAGTAGAAAGGAGAGGATTATCATTTTGTGCTTTAGATTTGGGGGTTATACAGCGTTTGACACATTTACACATACGTATGTTTCATAGACACCTTGTATACATAGCCTGTAAGTAATTTCAATCAACATAAGACATAGTTCATCGTTTAATTTACTGTGCATTTGTAAGATGACCTTTTAAATTAACGTTCACGATTACTTCTGTATCCCTGTGCCCAGGGACTGGGATAAATGCTTTTGCTTTATTCCACAGGGTGACACTCAAAAAGTTGGAATATGGAGCATTTGGGGTCTTGGATTTTCAGGCACTAGGGATAGATGTTCAGCATATACAAGACTTGTCCATCTATCTCTTGTTACTGTTTGGCCGCATGTGCCCTAGTTACCCCACCACCACGTGTGTGTGTGTGTGTGTGTGTGTGTGTGTGTGTGTGTGAACTGAAGGTAACACTTCATTCCCAGTTTCTTTATCAGGAAAGTCCTAAGAACAGCAACAACTTAAAAGAACTGCACCATGATTTGAGCATAGCTAAGAAAATAGAACAATGTACTGATGCCATCCATTATCTAGCTCAGATGTCTCAGTCTCCCCTGAGTGACATGCCAGGGCCTCCCTTTCATGAAGGAGTCCTACGTGGACCCCCATTCTTGCTTGGCTCCATCTGGGCAGTTAGTGAGGGATTCAGTCAGATTTAATGTCCCCCAGTTAATCGAGTACATATTTGCAACACATTCTTTTCAGTCACACTCAAGAGCTGCTTCCACACCATGGCAACCAATGTTTGCAGTAAATGTTCCCCACTCCTTGCTTTAAAATGAATAGCGTGACTCAGTATCAGGTCACGGAATGTGTAGTTCCATGGCAGGGATTATGGGAGACAAAGACAAAAACAGAGGGAGCCCAGTCAACAGAACTCAGGAAAACAACATTGCAGAAAAGTCCACTTCCACCCACCCCCGCACACATGTCCCAAGACGAAAGTTCTAGAATAAAAATAGCACACATGTATCAGAGAGAACCAAGCGAAGGTCAGTCAATCAGACCGGGTGCCGTCTCCAGGGAGTTTGCTCATGGAAGGGCACCAAGGGCCGTGTGTGGCATAGTTGCCCGAGAAGAAAGAAGAAAGAGCAGGACTCAGGAGCGCAAGGGCACAAAACAGGCGGCTGGGGTATGGTGGTGGTTAGTGGTGGTGGTGATGGTGGTGATGGTGGTGGTAGTGGTAATGCAACTTGTCTCTGGGACTTCAGTGACCTCAGGGCCAGAGATCAATGATGCAGGGATAATGGAGAAGAATGGGACAATGGACATTGGTCACGGAACAGATCCTGAAGCCAGGTAGTTTGAGCTTCAAGCCCCTGGAGGGAGGCGCAGGGTCACCTAATCTGCCCTGGGCACTGGAGATTGAGTGACTAGGTTTCTGGAGTGGCAAGACTTGATTGAGTTCATGACCTCACTATAACCACTTAAGTGACTTAGTGACCTGGCCTCTCAGTCCCTTGCTTCTCAACACCTGCAAGGTAGGAGGACTACCTCTTGGGTCTGATAAGGATTAGCAACGCTAATCCTATTATCTTTATTCGTTCCCCTGCTCAGTTTAGCTAGCATTTGATGATCCCCCCACCTAGCACAAAGGCCTTGCTTGGTGGCTCCCTGGGGCCCTGCTCACCTGAGAAGGTGCCCTTGCTGAGACACTCTTTGATCCGATTGGCTTTCCTGACATGGAAGGCTTTTGTGATCTCCTGGTTCATAAAGGCTTCCTTGTTCATGATATTCTCCACCATCATCCTCAGATCGAACATCTCCAGGACCTCGGCCATCTGAGCCAACCCCAGCAAATCTTTCTCCTTCTCATCCAGCTGCCCAGTGTAGAGGAATCGTAGCAGGGTCCGGAAAGGGCCTGACTGCATTGATGGGTCCAGCCTGACAACAGTCACTGGGCCCACCCGCTTAGAAATGGGGTTGACCCGCACCTCTTTGTGCATGCTGACAAATCCCTTGCTCCAGCCGGACAGGGCCTGTGCCTCAGAACCTGAGGCCTCGGCCTGCAAAGCTAGACTCTCCGGCAGGTCCTGGCCTGAAGATGCTCCTGGGCCAGCCTGAGGGGTCCTCTGGGGGCTTTTCTTCCCTTCCTCGGCTGGACCAATACCCTGCATCCTCCCGTGACAATCCCTGCATGGCACCTCCTCACCAGCGTCCCCACCCCAACCGGGGGATTCTTCACATTCCATTAAAAAAAGGTCGTAGAATTTGGAAGAAGAGGTAGCGAGGTAAATGCGGTGCGCAAAGATGTACTCCTGGTCCTGGAGAATGAAGAGGACGTCAGCGCACAGAGGGTTGTCCAGTAAACAGGCAGCATCGCTTGTCCCCGTGGAGGAACACTCGGGGACCTTGATGACCGGGGGAGGGGCTTTCGGAGGTAGGAAGGGCGCCTGAAGCAGAGGCTTCTGGACTTTTTTCAAGTGGGATTTCCAGAACTGCAGGTGGCGGCGGGAGATGAGGGCTGCCCGGATAGCATTGTCGAACACATCCTTGATGCCGAACTGGTCAAACACGCTGGTCTCGTAATAAGGGATGCCAAGTTCCTTCGCCACTTCTCGGCCTTTTTCTGGGGGCAAAATGTCACTTCTCTTTATGGGCCTGAAATAAGAGAATTTAAAAAAAATACACATAATCAACTTTCTTTTAAGGGGAAAAAAAAGAAAGTGTGTGGCATCTAAATTTCTAAATCCCTAAGTTGAATTATATAACTAAAAATTCATTCACTTCTTAAATTTTTATGTTTAAAATCCTGCAAGTGTCTTGAAAACTCATCATTAATGGACATTCCAAAAAAAAGGTTTATGACTGTAAAAAAAAGCATATGCTGTTAGTAGTAACCATGGTAACAAAAGAATTGGCCTTTGTTATCTATGTGATCTTGAGCAAGTTGTCTAACCTCTTTAAGCCTTGGCTTTCCAACTTTGGAGAGCATGGGCCCCTTAAAGAAGAGGATTAAATGAGATAATGAATACACTTAGCATTGTCCTTGGTGCTTGATAAAAGTTATCACTGCCAATGGCCACCTTCATCATTGCATGTTTCATTTTTATAACTTCATAATGCACCCCCTGCACTATCTGAAAGTTCTATGAAGTACCGTTTTCATTCTGTAGTGAGAAGAAACAGAGGCATGAAGTTCAATTGGTTTGCCTACAGAATGTCTATAAGCTACTAGAAATTTCTACTAAGTGGTTAGTGTACAGACTTCCCCACTCTTGGTTCAGGGATCCATGTCCAGTGGCTTCTAAAGTCTCTCTATTGGATTCATGAGTCCTCTTTCATATATTCCTCCCCTCCATTTCCATCAGGCCTTCATTGATCTTTTCTTTAGACTGGTACATAAGTCTCTTAGTTGGCCTTTGTGGTACTTTGAATGTAATTGGCCTCCATAATCTCATAGGGAGTGGCACTATTAGGAGGTGTGGCTTTGTTGGAGTGGGTACAGTCTTGTTGGAGGATGTGTGTCACTGTGGGGGTGGGCTCAGGACATTGTCTGGCACAAGCCAAGATGTAGCCAGCACCACGTGGATCTGTCTGCGCGCCGTCATGCTCCCTGACATGATGATAATAGACTGAACCTCTGAAACTGTAATGGAGCCACCACAATTAAATGTTTTCTTTATAAGAGTTGCTGTGGTCGTGGTGTCTCCTCACAGCCATAGAAACCCTAACTAGGACAGCCTCTCTTCAGAATCCGCACTTAGAGCTCAGAGTCCCACCCCTGCAAGAAATGTACTAAAATAATAGCAAGGGTACGGCTGAGCCCGCAATTCTGTGTTAATTTCTCCTGTTTCCACAAAGCCAGTGGAACAAAGCCCACACCCTTTTGGTCTGGCACGCAAAACTCATTTACAAGTTAATCAGACCCAGGGAGGCCAATATAAGCACTGTAGTGCTGGGCTTGAGACATAACTGGGGAAAGGTTCCAGAACCGACGAGATGTGATCCGCTACAGTGCTTTAAGGAACGCACGCTCAATTCCGACAGACGCTCTTAAGCGGCTGATCTGAAATACTTCGCCTTTGACACCAAAAGTCACAGGCTTCCCAGGCCCTGGTCCAGGAGAGCAATGATAAAAGTGGATGGAATTTGGATTTGAAGACCAGGGGGGAGGGAGGGAGGGAGGTCACACCTCAGGGTGCTGACAAGAGTGGAAAGATCCGGGGAAGAAGGTTCAACTTTGGGCCTCTTCCTGTGGGCCCTGTCTGAACTTTGTCCTCGGGGCTGACTCGAAATTTGCTAATTGATTAACCCGAAGCTTGGCTCCAGTGCCCGACTTCGTGAAATCTCTAAGTCGCTCCCTATAAGGGACTGTCCTGTCTGCTACTTGGCCGGTTCTGCTGCCCTCTGCAGTCGCCCCCACACCCAAGTGATTCTGAACATTCCATTTCTAGTCCATGCATGTAGGAACAGAGGGATTGTGGAGACCGAACATGAAGTGCTTTCCAAGTTTTACCCAGGATGCCTTTGGAGCACCAGAAATCGTCTGAAAGTGTCTCAAAGGTCAGCACTGCAATAAGCATAAAAAGTGGGGTCCAGAGAAGGTTTGTGGTCAGCCAACTGGGTAAATACGGAAGCAAAGCATTGCTATCAGAATTTGGTGGGAGTTTTGCCCTTCAGCAGAGAATATGGGTGTAAAACAGACAAAACTGTTTTATACAAGAGTAACTTCTGAGGGCACAGGTTTTTAAGAATTCTATTTCTTTCCACAATTGGTATCCATACTGTGGACACAGTAAAAAAAAAAAAAAAACCAAACAAACAAACAAACAAAAAAAACAAAAAAAACCCCACCTTCTAATTTATTTTAAATTCTGACATTTTGTTAACATAAGGATTAGATACATTTAAAAAATCATGTTTGCTTTCTTTCCTTTTTTTTTTTTTTTTTTTTTTTTTTTTTTGTTTTTTTGAGACAGGGTTTCTCTGTCCTGGATCTTGCTCTGTAGACCAGGCTGGCCTCGAACTCACAGAGATCTGCCTGGCTCTGCCTCCCAAGTGCTAGGATTAAAGGCGTGCTTCACCACCGCCTGGCTTTTGCTTTCCTTTTTAAAAATTTATTTACTTATTTATTTTATGTACCCGCGTGCTCTATCTGCATGTACAACTTTATGCCAGAAGAGGGCATCAGATTCCACTAGTGATGTTTTGTGAGCCACCATGTGGTTGCTGGGAACTGAACTCAGGACCTCTGGAAGGGCAGCCAGTGCTCTTAACTGCTGAGCCCTTTCTCTACTCCCTGTGTTTGCTTTTCTGCAAGTAGAGCTCCACATGATTTTTAGGTGTTTGCTTTTGTTTTCTTTTCGAGGCGGGCTCTCACTGTGCAGCTCTGTGGACCAAGTTGGCCTCAAACTCATGAAGATCCACCTGCCTCTGCTTCTCAAGTACTGGGATCACAAAACGAGTGTTGTTAGGCTCAGCTCCACATGATTTAAAAAAACTGGACACCAGTCCAGGCCTAGTGGTATGGGCCTGTAGTCTCAGCAGCTCAGGAGGCCGAGGAAGGAAGATCACAAGTTCAATCCCAGGCTATGCTACAGAGTCAGCTAAGAAATGTAGTGGGACCCTACCCGGCTCTAAGTTAAAAGTTAAAAGAGGAATGGGGCCATGATTCAGTGGTAGAATGTCTGGTCTGCCTAGAATGTGGAAGGCCTTAGGCTGACTCTCCAATGCTGCGCAGAACACCAGAAGCCAGAGAAACACTAACACCACCACCACCAAAACCAACCTAGACATGTGGTCATGGGAATGGAAGCACATCTCTGATGGGATGTGATACTGGCCAACAGCTGTGGCTGATCCTTCTGAGCCTGAGTTTATTTTATTCTAAGCAGGCATCATTTCAAGAATGATGCCACCCTGGGTGGCTAACATTCTATATAGGACGTCATTCAAATAAAATACTTCCTCCAAAGCACTTCCATACACCCCATTTCATATCACTTGGAATTCCCTTGTAGCACTGCTGAACCATTTGATGAGACTGGATTGTGACTCTGTTGATCCTGGGGAGGCATCAGGACTCTAGCTTCAGGATGAATGGCTGACTCTGACTTTGCCAAAGTCGATGGCTGAGAGGTGTAGCCTCAGTGGCCACTGAAAATCTGAGGTACCTGAAAACTATTTCCTCGCCGGTGACGGTGGCGCCCACCTTTAATCTCTGCATTCGGGAAGCAGAGCCAGGCAGATCTCCATGAATTCAAGGCCAGCCTGGTCTACAGGGTGAGATCCAGGACAGGCACGAAAACTACACGGAGAAACCCTGTCTTGAAAAAACCAAACCAACCAACCAAACAAACAAAAAAACTATTTCCTCACTGAGGTGCCAGCTGCATGCGGGGTCCTTGGCTTACCTTGCTAAGGGGCGTCTGGCCCGGTTAACGGCTTCCAGGTCGGCGTAGCGGAGGTCTAGCTGGCAGCCAACAAGGACAACAGGTGTTCGAGGGCAAAAGTGCTTGATTTCTTGATACCACATAGTCTTCACATGATTTAGGGAGTTGGGATTTGCGATTGAAAAACAGAGGACCACAACGTCAGACCTGAAAAGGAAACCGCAGACAGAGCTCACATCACCTTTCTGTGTGTCTCTCTAGCCATCCATTATGGTCCCTCTCTCTTCTCCCACTTATCTGACAATATGACGTCACAGTTAAAAATAATATTTTTGTTTTGTTTTGTTTTAAAAAGGGCCGGATAGTAAATACGTCTATGAGTCATGCACACAGCCCGCTAAGCATTCCAGCCCCAACACAGCCTTGCGGCGGCTCATTTTCACATCTCACTGCAGAATGTGGATGGATG